CAATTATCGAACTAAAGCGGCGTACCGGTGGGGGAGAAACAAACCTAGGTATAATAAATTTTCCGACGGTTGCAACATGAAGGTCATTCGGATAAATTGATCGTCCAGTCTTCACGCATGCCCGGTAGTTCTTACCGCGGCCTGCGTGTAACCTTTACCAACGTCTGCAGGCCTATGAACAAGCGCGATAAGCTGTGCCGCTTCGTTACTTTCGAGCGACCAGATTCACTTGGACTACAAGAGACGTAGTTGAACGATGAGGTTCTCACCCAAGAAGTCGAGCTTTGTGGCTGCCGCATTTCTGGGACCACATGAGTCGACCCCATCTTCAACTCACAGGCGAGTTCAAGTGGCCTCGAATACGCTGGCTTTAAGTTCAACTTATCACCGGATATTGTGAGGCCGAAGCAAAGTGCGATGAAATGACACTTGGAAGTGGGGCAGCACAGGGCATCAGCCAACAAACGCGCATAAAACCGCCCTCGATTCCGTCGTACTTGGACTTAACGTTGACAAGCTGTGAACAATGTGTATGACTGTCGGGTTTTGGAGCACCCGTTATGTGTCTTGGATTCTGACGCAATCTCACTTATGGCATCGGTTGACTTTGAAATCAGCCTCTACCATTTCGATCACTGGGACCGTCACTGAAATAGAGGGTTTCGGTGTTTCTCTCTCGCTGCCCCTCACTCAACAACACATTACGTCCATGTTTGAACTCATCAGGTGAATGGCACATGTTAGATTGCGTGTCGTAAGCTAGAACATGGGGGTGCTCTAAAACTCAGCAGTCAACTTCTAACTGCTGTGTTAAGCGTTACCCACGGAGTTCAATGGTCTAGTGATCATGGCGATAGCCGTCAACCGCATGTGTCGGGTTCCAACCCCAGCCCAGGCTATCCCTGCCTGATGAGTTCAAACAAGGACAAAACCCGGGATGGAAGAGAACAACACGGAAACTGCACGTGTGTAGGACATCCAGATCCTGGATCATCTGCCAACAAGCAACTACGCAGTTCTTCTTGCCGACATGAGCTGCCGCTGCATCGATCCCAAACACTGAAGCCAGTTTACAACTAATGGAAGATAGATTTCGATGACTTAACTTGAGTCGTGATTCCGGCGGATTGATCTCTGCTGCAGTCTGCATCCGTTGAAGCTTGCTGGTCCGTCATGAAGAATGGAGTAAACTCAGTATGTAACCGGCTTGTGCATCTCAAGTGTCGGAAAGTCGAACCAGTTAAGCCACAGTGGTTCCACAAGAAAAATGGTAAGCTGGTTTGGCGGCGGCGAATGTGTGACATATTTATTATTAGGTATTCTTTTGTTGGCTCGGTCGAAGAATATGAAGTCAATAAAATGCAGCAAAACATTTGCAACATTGCGAAAAATCAACAAGCGCTGGTATTTCGAAGAGCAATTTGCAATCGCAGTAAAGACGGCTCCGCAGAGAATCTTGGCGTACGTGAAACGGCATACCGAGCCGACAGGTGACCTACCAGTGACAGAGCGCTCGAACGGACAGCCCCAACCTCCAGCACTCAGTGTGTGTCCGCGATGGCAGCGCACTTTTTCCCAGTTCGCAAATAACCAGGTGTCTTTACCGAGTTTGACATGCACCGCCGTTATCGAACTCAACAGCCTGGATTGTAATGTGTAGGGGGTGCGTCAACTACTCACCAACCTTGACAGCATTAATCCTGTTGGACATGACGAGCTTAACCCTCTGATTTTCAACTCCTTATCGGCCATCATTTCGCATACCTTAACTGACCTGTTCAACAGGCCGCTGTCCAAAGTAGCGTCGCCAATTGTTTTGAAGCTCTCGGTAGTAAGGCCAATTCCGAAAGCCGGTGACTCCAGAAAAGTAGACAATTACAGGCCAATTTGCTTGATACTTATTTTGGCTAAGGTTGTCAAGGAGATTAGAAAGAAGGGTTTATTACAGCCATTCTGGTGAAAAGATCTCCTGATGCTCAAACAGCATGGTCTTATGCTAGCCTGCTTATGCATTACCAAGTTCCTCGTGACCAGGCGTGAATGCTTACAGGCAGTGAACCAAGGGGAGTCTGTCGACTTCAGTAAGGACTTCGGCAAGGTAAACTATGAAGTGCTCCTCCATAAGCTGAAGTCCGCGGTGTTGCTGGATCACTGCACCAGAGGATCTGAGAGTTGCTCGTTGGGCGAAGATGGAGGGTACAGGTCGATCGCCGTCTAACTGACTGGTATCCCTCTACAAGTGGAGTACCCCAAGGAACGGTGCTGAGGCCCACTCTGTTCCCAATTCACATTGACGCTTTATCTCAGCTTCTTCGGTCACCGGGTACACATTTCGCGGACGAGCTGAAAATTTGATGTGATTTGCACCCCGGACAACTGTAGCCTATTGTAGCAAGACCTTAACCGCCTTTCCATGTTTGCAGAATTCCGCCTCCCGGTCAACCCATTCAATACGGTATTCATGAGTCTGGGAAAAGGTGGTGATAGACAAATCTACAACCTTGGTGACTAAATGCTACATCCCACCTACCTTTTGTTTTGAAGTCCGTGCGCTACACGAACAGGCTACAACGAAACCGACTTTGTATGCTCTGAACGCTCAAACGTAATTTCTGCATCCGGTTTTAAAATGTTTCCACTCCCCTGTTTTCCTCCGTCATAAGACCAATGCTAGAATGTGGCTCACCCGCCTATTACTCGACCATATGAGGCTAGGCGTAGAAAATCGAACGGGTCCAACACATCACTACCAGGGTCATCCCCAGTTTGTGGGGCTTACTGTACAAAGACAGGTGCGAGAGGCTGGTACTATCCACCTTGACCTATCATCGGTTGTGAATCGACCCCATTACGACCTACCGCAATCTACATCCAAGTGACCTCCCCATACTGGGGCCACTACTCCACTTGCGAATACCTTGCAGCACACACGGGCACCAGTATAAGCTTGTAGTTCCAGATTTGAAGCGAGTTCCCCATCTTCTGTGCTTTGAACGGCGAGTGGTGAATGTCTGGAACAGTCTGCCGAGCATATAGTGGAAGGGATCTCAGAGCAGTAGCTCAAAACTTTGTTGCATATGCATTTCTCCAGTGTCAAGTTCCGAGAAGGATTACCCACTGGCAGTGATACCTCACACTTGTAAGTCCCAATTTACTGTTAGCTATGCAGTTTAAGATATCACGTGAAAGCATGACAAAAAACCAATTTTAACAGGTGGTAGATAATTTGTTTTTTAACGGTTTTGCCCGTATTTCGAAGTTGTACAAATTTAAATTTCTGCTTCCTCCAGTAATATTGTTATCAGCATACTGTTCAGTGAAATTTAGGGAGTTTAGCAATCCCTCCTACCTAACCCCATTTAAATCACAAAGGTGTCGTCTATGTAGCGCCGCTAAACTTTCAGTGAGCTACCGGAGTTCACTAGTGACTTCCTCTCGAAGTCCCCCATGTACAAGTTCACTAATACAGGGGATATTAGCGATTCCATGACTAGACCCTGTTCCTGGGTGTAGAGCTTCGACTTAAAAATGGGATAGGATTTTCTAAGACACAATATCGTGCTATGCATCATTTGATCAAATGTAAGCTTTGTTCTCTCACCCAATACTATGTACAACTATGATTAAAATCGCAATTGGCATTCAAATAAACTCAGTCCTAAATCAAAAATAACAATGTACCCTACGTACTGGCATCATTAGATTTGCTTGTAATGAGTACTGTGTTCGGCTAATGGCATTGCTGAATTTCGGATCGGTAGTCCAATGACCGCTTCCCCTAACTACTGGGTTACCTGACCACTAGACCACGGCTTGCATTAGCTTGAGACAATTTGCCAATCTTTATTATGCGTAGATGTAGCAACATGACGAAGAGCCAAAAAACCATGCGATCCGAATTAACCCTAGTCTATACCATACCGAAAAAGATAACTGAATGTTTAAGGTATTTTACCATCCCTCAAATTAACCATGATGATAGTCCCACAGAATTGTGTACCACATTGGTTTGTTACGTTCAATGATTCGTGTGTCAAAACCGCTCGTATTCCATGGGTTTAAAGGAACCAGATTTCTCGGCATCCATTTTGGGACAGTTTCCAACCAACTACCTTCACCAGGCCGTCAGTGGATTGTATTTTCGTCGACACTCCGAAATGCTTTTTGATATATACGGGTTTCGAGTCCTAGAACAACCAACGATTTATTACAGTGATACTTGGTATCGATGCTTCGCTAATGATTGCGAGTGGGAGAGGAATTCCACGCGTCACTGGCACCTACGCAGGCTCGGACTCGCGACCTGTTACAAATCAGACACCTGACTCATTGGACACCAACTGGTCACATGCATCATACGCGTTCTAAGTAGTGGGCTCACATGTCACGTCCACATTCATGAGGAGTAAGTGTCTGCAAGACTACCTACAGCATCCCAAATACCACCCACCCGCAATAATACGTAGCCAACGCTAAGCTCAGGTCACATCACATGAGCTTGTCGAGCATGTCTCCTAGATTGCGTGAAACTAGCTCCACTGTAACTAGTGGTTGTTGATTTTGAGTGCTAAACAGAGCCAGACATAGTCAGAAGTGCGATCGAACTGCGCCGCATCTCACGATGCCGCGGGTCAGTTTGAGCCGTATACTCCTCTAATATGCTACTGGATGCTTTGGAATTGCCCACTATGAACAGTGCGTAGTTGGGGCGTGCGCGCCTAGTGGATGCAATTTGATTGAGTTAAGAAATATTTTGAGTGGCCTATGGCAAAACATGATTTTCTTAAGGATGAATTCGATTCCACTACGGATGCAATTAACTGGTAAAATATGTAGTTCGGTTTCGACATCCAAGCTACCGATATACCATCCTGATACGGGTAAACTGAGCGATTGGCCATGCGGAACTCCGTCGCCGCAGTGTTGATCAATATGCCTCCACAGTCTGACAAATATGCCGACTGATACAATTCCGTGAAGACAAGAAAGGAACACGATGTAACCAGTGTGAACATTATATGCAGCAAGCACAGAGGTAAAAATCAAAGGGGTCAAAATTTCCGCGGGTGAAACATCTTCCACTGAGGAAGAAGAGAAGCGGACCACATAAGAGGTGCCGAATATGCTTTCGGACAATGGTAATTGAAGCTTGAGAAGATGAGGAAATCTTCCAGAGATGGGGTGCACTCAAAGTTAGAAGCGCTCATGCAGTGGTGCATAATGTACAAAACAATGGTCAAGGCCAGATAGTAAACTAGTTAGTTAATAGGTCAAAGTTACAGATCACTATCACAACTGAAGCAACCAAACATTTGGCTAGTAATTGAGGATGAGGGGCCGGATGGTTGAAAGTAATCCGACAGACGGAATAGCAATTGGCTTGAAGATACTCCAGTCGCGGAAGGGTTGTGCACGAAGAAGAGTTGAGAAAAAGAACAGTGTAGAGGGCAAAAACTACAAGGAAGAGCAATATCAACATGTGTAGCCGGGGGTCGATGATCTTGACCTTGTGCGAGGTGCACATTAATGTGAAGTCACAGCTTTCCGCGCATAATATGAATTATCTGGAAATCACCAGTCTGGCCCTATAAATCAGAGTAAAAATACCGTGGTCCCTACATAAAGGCAACTTTAAAAAATAACAGAAGATCCCGTTCTTTGGGGTCGTGTCAGACCGCGAAGTTGAAAGAGCGCACACGAGTTCGTGAAGCATGTTTCACTTTAATTCATCCCCTGCAACAGCATGGAGAGGTGTAGGTTGTTAAAATCACAAAAGTAGGAAACAAAGTGTCCTAGAGGCTTGTCACAAATGAAATGTTCTATCATCCGGAGTTATTTCACCGTTTGACTTATCGGTCTACTATCCGCTTCATTCACCTTCTCTTGTCCCAAAGTAACAGCCCTGTTTCCAGCGAACAGTTCCTGGAAGTACCATGGTAGCTGATGTACTTGAGTGTTTGAAGCCTCCTGCAAAAACAACTCTTGTGTGCACATAGTGATCGAACGAAGTTCTGTCAGAGCCATGATGATACGCGGCCAGCACTGATGCGAAGCGTTTGATCTGGACCGGGCTCGGTTCCTGTTCACATGACGGTTAAAGGTTTCCAGTAGTGTGTTTTGTATGTTTTCAATAGTTTCAATATCATTCAAATCTGTACGGTCTGTTGAAAAATGAAGAGATGTACGTAAAACGTGTCTTAATTACGCAGCAATGAAAACGTCAAGGTCACCAGTTTGCCCAGTAGTAGTACTAGTACTATTAGTATTAGCATCGGTAGTGGTAGTAGTAGTATTAGTAGTAGTAGTAGTAGTAGGTAGTAGTAAGAATTTGTTAATAACACCACATTGAACACCATCGGGTTCTGACGGTAACAGACATTGATACCGAGAAAGCTTCAAAAAAAGTAGGGTCTCATCATAAGCAAGCAAGACAAGGGCTCAGGAACTGTGCTCATAATTGGTACTGAGTACATTGAGAAAGTGGAGGTGATACTTCCGGATATATCTTGTTTTATAAAATATAAACAGCAGTAAGACAAAACGGATAATACAGGAGTCCAACTGATCACGTTTAAAACCATTAGGAGCGACGGTTCCAAAACCATGGAGACGTACCAACAAATTCGGTCCACAGGCTCCACCATTCCCTGCCCTAATGGCCTCCACAAAATACATAAGCAAGACACACAATTGAGGACCACACTAGAATTCTCCGTACCACAACCTCGTACAATGGTTGACAGGAATACCTAGTGCCATCAGGAAATGATTGCTCCACATCGACCGGCAGATATATTTCATTTTGTCGACAAAGTTCGAAATATGAACATCGTGGAGTACCGAATGCTGTCTCTAGACGTTATTTCATTGTTTACCAGCGAGCTTCTGAGGGGAACAGCTAATTTTCTATATCCGTACATTGACCAAAATGATATAAACATTGGTATACTAACCAACCAACTGAAACAACTGATCCTCAGACGTACATACAACATTCGGTCGATTCAACAACGGGTTATACAAACAGTTTGATATGTAGCAGTGGGACCTCCGCTGGGTCCACTGTTAGTGGACATTTATATGGGAATGCTAGAAGGCTGATCACTAAAACAGATTATCTCCGACCTGAAATTCTACCGGAGTTACGCAGACGATATAGTACGTATCACTGATTCGACCATCAACCTTCAGCATGTAGTCGACTATTTCAAGATTCACTCCGATGCCGCATTTACGACTGAAGAAGTAGCAAACTAAAGAATGCTCAGGCACAATCCTGACCAGAAGGAACGACGGATCAAACTAAGTAAAAGTATGCAAAACCGTATCGGAGGGGGAAAGATGCGAACTTTATCTCCAGTCAGTGCTAATCTACCGGTTCATCTGACCTGGTGGAGCTACGCACGTTGAACGGACGACCAGGCATTTAGGTAGGAATTAAGGCGTACCTCCCAAGTTGGATTTAATCACGAAAATAGAACAAATTACAGCGCGATTGTAAACCATCTAATCGACGCCGGTCACCAGATCAATAAACTACTTTTCAGATTGACTACAGAATTCCGCCTATGCGTCACCAACTACGGACTCATTATGCACACGGCTAACAAACCTTGACCTGTGTATTCAGAAGAAAATGGTACAGGCACTGCAACTGCCGTGGCCGTCTGTCAGACGGGAAGTGACTGCGCTCCGCAAACCTTCTTGATCTCAACCGTGTGGTCAGGTGACTGACAGCAGGACCACAAGTCAAGTTATCTAATAAATTATCTTTACCTACCTATACCATTCAACTCCCCCTACTACTCTTCTGTAAATTATCTTTTATAATGCTGACGATTACAACCAAACTTACTCCACAGTATTTTAATGTATGGGACTGAGGAAGAATTTATCATAAACAGTAGTTTTCTTAAAGCATCATGTTTTGATTGCAGGATTACTTCGAAGCGTTCGTGTGAGTAGATGGCAACGTGCATTCTTAGCGTGGACCAAGATTAGCAGTAGAGAAAACATTGGATCGTAACTGATGCAACGGATTGGCATTGGTTGTTGCGCGTGGTTACCATGGCAACGACGTGTAGAATGAGGCCAATTGCTGTTCTTGTAGTTCAGGGAGTAGCACAACACGTTATGCCAGAGCAGTTTAAGCTTCTTATGTCGCTACTTAACCTAGGTACCTTATAAGAGGTTAAGTATTACCAAGTTGCACATCGTTTCATGGACGCGAAAATCACCGCCGTGCCTGGCCCAATCATATGAAACGCCTCAAAAAGTGGATGGTAGCAGTTTCCGGCCAATCGACAATAGAGGAGATATTGTTGAGGACTCCCGAACGGATGAAACGGTCACCCGGCACATACCCCTAATGTGAGCTATCGGTTTAATGGGTTGGTTCTGAATTCAATCAAAGCCCTCCCACCATTTCGCTTCTCTTTCGACATCAGCTAGAAGTGAGAAACAACCCAGCTATTGTACCACAATGCGATTCAATTAGGTGGCAGTAGAAAAAGCACAAGAGGAGAACAAAACAAAAATAATTCAAGATTGTCCATTTAGGTCTTGAAGAGGGAAGATCATCTGGTGAGCAAGTGCTTTCAATGGTTTATTATCATTCCATTACGGTCATATGGGGTTAAAAAATAAAAATCGACTCAGTTCAAAACGAATAGATCGAGTGAGTCTATATCAGAGAGGAGAAAAAGAACTAGGTCTTAGTGGGTTAGTTGTTTGCTACAGTTTTACCGAAGGCAGTCGACCTGGGTGTCCTCCAGAGAAGCTGGAGAGCCTGCACCAGCTTCTTATGCGAGCATAAGGATGGCTGCAACAATTGAATGCCAATTGCTTCACCTGTTGCAAGTATAGGAAGAGGGTGATCTTTCGATCGATACTGCGGGACCTTGTACACTATTCGGACAGCGCGTTCCAGATCCACCTCGACCGGTGTCCACAATATGGGCCAGAATGGCGCTACTAATGGTCCCAGTGCTTCCTTGACGAAACCAACGTGGGCAATGTTCGTTCACACGTTTGGATAAGGGCTGCGCCTTACGACCAATGTACGTTTCCTCACAAGTGCACTCGAAAGGATAAATTATCAAGGGTGTGGTCAGCATCGGCAACTTGTATTTGTTTTGTGGACGAGTAAGTGGTTCCGTTGAAAATACGCAGTTTAGCGAGGCTACTGAGAAGGTCGAATTTACCGCGGCCGAAGGGTTTCTGGTTAGACGCTCGGTAGCCACGTCCCCTTTGAAAGGTAAACGAAGGAAAAGCTCCTTTGCTGTTGTTAACACTAGTACTGGTTTGGATTTTTCCTGAAAGTTCCTTGAAATAAATATATCGAGATATATATTACCACGTAGCGTATTCTGTACGAACATCAACATCGCATCTTCCGAGCAGAGTCGACATGCTCCCGAAGTAAGAGACTAAGCCATATTGCGCTTGTATCGTATAGGAAGGAAACTGGAAGATCGTGCACTGACCAATCCACGTTCTTTCTGTAGTCCTGATGCTGGATGGATCTGTCTGGTCTCCTAGTTGACAAGGCACCAAGATACGGCAGCCGATCGTTAGTTTCCGTCTCGTAAATAAACTGCACTACTGCATGGACTCGGTTAAAGCTGTCAAGAATCTCATCAAGGTTAACATATTTATCCACCACAACACATATATAGTCCTGTATCGATGTTAGCTGTCAGAAAGGTTTATCTCCGCCTGCATTTCGGTCCTCCCCAGCCTTGCCATGAAAATATTCATCAATAACGGTCCGAGGGGGGATACCATTGCCACAACGTCCTCCTACCAGTAGTATTTGCCGTTGAACAGAAACTGCACATTCCAGGTGCAGCGCAACTATGCCACGTGCAGGTATGCATACTTTTATTCCTGAAGCAGCTATATAGTCGCACATGTAGTCCATCGTCTCAATTAGTGGAACGTTGATAAAAAGGGAGACAACTCAAAAGATGGAATAACTTTCGTATTGATTTTAGCCTCCTTGATGCTTTCGGCGAACTGGAAGTTATCACGAAGACCGCATGTTGCGAGCTGTTGTGGTACAGATTCAAGTTCTACAAGCCACTGAGCGACTGCGTGGTAAGGTGAGTGGCCCATCGACAGAATAGGACGAAGTGGGATGTTGGCTTTGTAGATTGTTCGTAACCTGTAAGGCCTTGGAACATTTGCACCACTCGGTTTAAGGCTGTCATACAGAGCATCTAATTTACCCCTTGGTCCGAAGTTTTTGCAAGCTCTTAGTGATCTGTGTCTCAATGTGTTCTGTTCGGTCCATTTCTCCTTTGATGCAAGAAAACTTTGTCTCTTCGCTGGGTATTGTTGTCAACTTATCCATATGATCATTTCCGGTCTGCAGAAGACGATTTCCTCATAAGGCTTTAGTTCCTTCAGCGCATCTAGGTGCTTTCGTGTTAGCAGGCCATGATTACGGACGTGATGTTTACCATACTGGTAGCAGCAATCCAGCAAATAGCAGTTGAAATTTACAACATCTGTATTCGATTTAGCGATTAATCCTTTCGACAGCTCACATAAGCTTTCAAATTGTAACTCATAATCGAGCTGGTCATCCCTGCGTCTAGGAGCGCAAAATTTCAGGCCAAGTGATAGAACTTCGATCAAAGTTGAGTCCATTTTCAAACTAGATACGTTGTGTACGTATCTTTCTGGCCTTTTTAGAAACGTGGCTTGTGGCTTAAGCTGGTCTAGCTACTTTACTAAAGTAGAACGCCCTGGCTGTACACGGTTGGTAGTGGTAGACTGAACATAATCCAAGAACACTTTCTTCAGTAGCCATGTGGCGTTGTGCTAGATTTCTTTTGTATTCAGCAATCTTGGATTGCACTGTCACGTTGATTTAATGCATGTCGGCTAAGGGTCTTGCCAGTGGGATAGATCCAGTTAGCCACAACTGCTTCCAAAATCTGGTCGGATACTGATTAGGCTCTACGCAATCGATGAAGAAATGTACACAGTATTTGGTTTAAGCAAGCTTAGTGGAGAACCTGGAATCGATTGAGCTTCTTCACCAAAGATGGGGAGCTTGGATGATTTAACTAAAAATTCCCATTTAAGTCTCGAGAACGAAAGACGATTGCTTTCAGTGCTTCATCATTTGGTGGCTTCGTCGTGCATCGGAAAT